GCATCCTTACACAATATGAGGTCTGATTTTGTAATTTATTTTTTTATTTCCAACTCACTTGTTTAATGTTAAATTATATTATATGTCTTTAATGTTAAATTTTATTATATGTCTCTAATGTTAAGTTATACTATATGTCTTTGTTAAAATTGTGCACGTGGGTTTAATACAATACTTGCATCTAATTTAAAACTAATTGGCTATAGGTGGAGTGGCTTTTCTTGTATTTAACCCACAAACTTCTTATTTTTATACTCGACGTGGGATTTTCTCACTTAACACGCCCTCTCACATGCAGACCCATTATGAATGTCGGGTCCTGTCATGTGGGTTAACACGCTCTCTTAAATACAGACCCGATATCTTCAATTTCGGGTTCTGTCAGGTGAACAACAATAGGCTTCCCAAGGCAGAACTTGAGCTCTAATACCATGTTAAAATTGTGTATATGGGCTCAACACAAGACTTGCATACATCCTAAAACCAATTGGCTATAGGTGGAGTGGCCTTCCTTGTATTTAACCCAGAAACTTCTTATTTTTATACTCGATGTGGGATTTCTCCACTTAACAGTCTTTAAAAGATAATTTAACTGGTTAATAATATGAAATTTTAATTTGCATATTTGAATTTTGAATTCAATAGGAAAAAATTTGAAAAAAAAAAGTTATTTCCTCTTATATAATTTGGTATTAAATGTATAAAAAAATATTATATAAATTATTGAGAAAAATTATTGCACTTACTATATTACCAATTTTAGTATTTCTTTTTGTATGATTATAATGAATACTCTGCTCAATAACAAAGATTGGGATTGCTTGACTTTAGCAAATGATAGATTTTATTTATATTTTTAAAAAAGAAATTTCTAATATGTGTGGGTGCAAATTAAAAATATATTTTTTGTAATTTTTTATTATTAATTTATAAAAAATAAAATGTTAATATGAAGTCTATCAACTATCTAATAAAAATATTCCATGTGATGTTTTTATTTAAAATAAAATTTACTTTTATAACTTTTTCTATAAATTAATAGTAAAAAGATACAATAAATATACTTTAAAGGGTACAAACTAAAAAAAAAAATCTTTTTTAAATTGTGTGTAATAAGATAATGTATATATATACATTGTGCACACTTTATATACGTACTTTATCTCTAATGAAAAAAATGAGATAATTTTAAAATTAATTCAAATATTAAAAAAACAAAAATTAACTTTAATGATTACATAGAGTATTATAATTATAATATTTATATAATTTAATAATATTATAATTATAATATCACATATAATTATAAATTTATAATTATGTCAAAAACACTAAATTAATAAATATATAATATTATAAATAAATTCTTAAATATTTTTAATACGATGTAATATTATAATTACACTAATTTCATCATATAATCTTAAAAATATTTTTAGCTGGTCCGTGCTAAAACTGCGGAGGCCTAGTAAGAGTATAAGTCCTGGTTATAAAAAGTAATAGAGTGCCCCAATCAAGGAGTGATATTTTAAAATTTTGCCAATTTTGAGGTCAAATGCGATATAAGACAGTTGCCTTGTTGGGAAAGTGTAAATATGATACCACACCCATTTCACAATGCCTGCGTGCAGACTGCAGAAGCAAGGACCCAGTTGGGCATTGCCATTATCTGGTCACCTCAAAGTTTCATGGCATCTCTCTTCCTCCCTGCAACTCAGTTTGCCATTTACAAGGAAATTTGAATTGGTAGATGAGGTAACTTTTACAGCATTTGCTTTTTCTATTTTTCTCGTGGGAGTTGCCCATTTTTTCAAGGGATTTTTAATCATGACAATTAGTGATTTAACTTTTAGTTTTTTTTTTTTTTTTGTGGGGCACAAAAGTTTCTGTCTTCGTTCATGCTTTTAAAAGTTAGATTGAGAGTCATGACTTGAGTAAATTTAGTTGAACATTATACACCAGTTTCATATATTTTTGTAACAAGTTTGACAAAATTCATATACCATATAGTATGTGATTTGAAATTTAATTTTTACACAAATGAGACTAATTAAGATGAACCTATTTTTATGTTACTTTTAGCTTAAACACGCACTTCAGTGTCAAATATTATTTAGGACTCGCATGATTTCAGGTCTTAACCGCATATACTTTGGTGTATCAATTGCAAATGACAAAAAAATTTTCGTTCTCGGAAGAGTAGAAAGGCAAGGCCTTTTAACGGTCAAGTTAAAAGAGGAAAATGATGTGGGGGAGTCTCACGTGCACTAGGATAAAATTTAACATGGGGGGTGAAAACCAATAATGCTTGTGAAAATCATATTGTTTTGCAAATCATGATTAGCATAAATTTTCTTATCTAAATGTACCATCAAAAGAAAATTCTTATCTAAATGATATCTTTTGTTGACCATCGTTTTCAAATAATGAGTTATTGGTTAGATTTGTCGCATATGTGCATTGGTATCCAATAATGTTTTGAAATGATTTATAGAATGTTATTAATCTAAATTAATACGTTAATTAATATTTATTTATTTTATATTTTTTTACTATTATAAATCTTAATTACAATATATCATTGTTGGTTAGCTCCATCATTTTATATAGCATAGCATGGCATAATGAAAATTGATTAATTATTGCACTTACATTGGCATGGAAAGTACCATAAAGTTATTCTTACAATTCACCAAACCAATGTACTTCCACTTTTTAGAAATTAGCCTAAAGTAGAAGGGCCTATTGGCATGTTGGGATGGCCTACAAGCAAAGAGAGCATCATTTTTGTTTTCATTTTTGAAACTTTTCTTTTTTTTCTTTTTGTCTTTCCAAGTACTTTTCTTAATCAATTATGCAAAATTAAAAAAGTGAGATCACCAAAAATCAAGGGAGATCAAAA